TTAGTAATGGCGGTAGGCATGTTAAACATACAGTATCTGTGTACAGAGAGTCTCTAAGAGAGATCAACTTGTCCTTAGGGCCATTAATTGAGGCAGGCTGAGAGGAGGCTGGAAACTGCTTTTGTGATAACAAGTGCAAAGGGGGCAGAGGCACACCAGAGAGATAACTGTTGGCACCATCCTCCCCTTCCTTCTTAGTTTCCCTAGTCTTAGCTGGGCTTCTATTTATGGGACTATTAGGGGGTAAGGACTCACCATTCTCATGCTGAGGGCGAAGGCTGATGAAAGTACAGTGTGAGGAATCTGATCCTGTGTTCTCTGTGCTGCAAGGGTGAGAGTCGACAGTTCAAGCCACTTCCATGCTGCTGCCCTCTACTTGAAGTAGATAGGAAAAAAGATGTCAGCTTTTGTTGTCCTGAGCATGGATTGACCCACTTTAACATACATATTAAGGCAGGTCTAGAGGGTAGTGGAGCAGGAGTAGGCAAATCGGATGAGAGCCCCTGTGTCACTGCATAGCTGGAATCTCAGGCTTTATTTGACCCACGGGCCCAGTCTCATACCTGCAGATAGAAAATGTCTCAGTTACTAGCCAGACTGTCTCTGATGCTATCCTGAAAGTGGTTATTATGTTTTTAATCAAAATAAATCTTTACAGTGCTATGTGCTACAACCAAATGTCATTAATCACTGTGCATAATAAACCAAAAACATATTTGAGACAAAATAAATAAAAAATAAAGTCTGCTGAATCATATATCAGCACGTGGCTGACATAAATATAATAATAACTACTGCAAGCTTTGATATGATCTCCTCTTCGTCATGGTAATCTGGGATCCAGCCTGAGCATTCTGCACATCATTTGAAGTACTTGACTTTTATTAATCTACATCTCATTACCCCTAGTGTTGTCTTTTTCTACAATGGTCATTACATTCATCACCATAATAGCCAAATGCCCTAATAACCTTGAAAGGAGATACATTATTCCACCAAGAGACTCCTATCTATAGTCAGGAACCAATAAGGTTAAAGCACAGAAATATTCAACACATCTATGTTGCCCATCAGATTCGCTTTTTCCCTGAACCACTGAAAAAGTCTCTAAATGTTACAAAAGTACATTGGGGAGTAATTTTAAACTAATTTTAGGAAATCCTATCCATCTCTCAGCTCTTTCCTATTTTAGAGTTGCTTGATATTTGGATATGTTACCACAGTACTGAAAGAGATTACACATTTAATAACTAATACTCTTGAATTGATATATTTCTCACATACAAATTAACTTAAAAAAATCTCAGCTTTTACAACTTTATATTTTGTATGCTCATTACTTCAGCCTCTCAGTAGGCCATTGCCCCACTCTTGATAAACTATGGAGATTAAACACCACCCTACTTGCCAATCCCAAATTTTCAGCACAATCATTGATCTTATAGGAAGTAGATTCATACACATTATGGAATTCCCAAAGGGCTTATATCAGAGGTGTATGGTTAAATTAAGTAAACAGAACAAAAAACAAAACAATATCCAGTTAAATTAACTCCATAAACAGATTCATGAGCTTGAATCAGCAAAAAATGTAACCCCAGGATGGATTTAGCAGCAGAACATACTAAAGCTAGACATCATCTTCAGCTGTTACTTATGCAAGAACATAAATACTTACTAAAACCCTTTCAGCTAAATTACTATTCCATTAACAACAAAGTGGGCATTTTTCTAGCTAGGAAGCTTAGGAACTATAGATCTAAACAAAACATTAATTAACCACCTCCTGCACACTGTATAGGGAAATGATGGACCGGCAGGAGCTCTTTTGTTCTGGGAGGATGTCATATGACGTTCTCCCACTCTAGCTGCACATGCAAACCCCGGCGATCAGTGGTGCGCTGTGTCCCTAGGACACAGTGGATCACTGATTGAGGTACAGAGTTGATGACGTAGCCTCTACCATGCGATCAGCTGTGTCCAAACACAGCTGATCACATGTAAACAGCAAATGCCAATTATCAGCAGTCTTCTCACGCTGACAGCGTGTGAGGAGAGGAGAGCCAGAAAGCGGTATTCCTCAGACATCTACACTAATAATCAAGGAACTGATCATCAATGCCCTGATTATCAGTGAAGCCCAATCAGTGCCTATCAGTGCTGCCTTTCAGTGCCTATCAATGATGCCTATCAGTACCCATCAATGCTGCCTGTCAGTGCCGCCTGTCAGTGCCCATCAGTGTACCCTCATCAGCACACATTAGTGAAGGAGAAAAATTACTTATTTACTAAATCTCTATCTGTCTAATGATAAAAATTTGGTTTGGGTACAGTGTTGCATAACTGCGCATTTGTCATTCAAAGTGCAACAGCACTGAAAGCTGAAAATTGGCCTGGGCAGGAAAGGGGTGAAAGTGCCAGGTATGCAAGTGGTTAAAGTACCCCGCCAACTTCAACAAACTCACCAGCCCTCAGGACATCACCAACACTTTCAGTAGCTTTTATAGCCCGTTATATAATCTTTATCAAGATCTTCAAACCACACAACACACCCCAGGAACTAGTACAAAATTATTGGCATTCATCCAGTTACCAACCCTGTCCACATATCAATTGATCAAGCATTCCATTCCTTTAAGGAACAAGAAATTGACCACAGAATATATACCATAGATACTCTGACTTTGTATAGATCTCCAGAGGCTAATGGGCCACCTAATAAATATTACAGATCATATTCTTCCATACTGAGTACGTATCTGACAGCTACCTTAATTATTCCTAGGGTTCCTTTCTGAAGGAGATGATACAGGTGGTTGTTATTACCACCCCAAAGCTGGACAAGAGCCCTTCTATTTCAAGAAATTAAGGGCCGATTTCTTTCTAAAGTTGGATGTTAAGACTTATGCAAAGGCCATAGCACACTGTCTGTTGGATGTCATCCCAACTATTCTATACCATGACTAAGTCAGGAATTGTACATGTTTGCTGTTTGTCTGAACTCTGAACATTTGTGGCTCTTTGGCAGGAGCTCCAAGCTGAACATCCCATAATACATTATAGTGCACTATGCACTCTAGTCAGGTGCAATACTTTGGCCAATAATGTAGTTAGTAGTGTAAATGACAGCTGACAGTAATTGCAAGAAAAAAAGGTTTGTGTTATTGTTCTAGTGTTCTACCACAGAGCTATACAGTACTATATTCAAGGGAGGTGGGGCAGGGGATTACAGAGTAAGGAGGGTACATACAGAACCATCAAACATACTGGAGAGACATACTGGCCCTTTTGCAGTAGTCCATTGCTACAGCACTTTTAATTTTAAGACACCAAATTTCTATGCAGCTGTTTCACAGTTGCAAAAATGTTCCTTTTTGTCAGTGTCAAATGCATTATCTTCATGAATATTTGTATTGAGTTTTAGTGCTTTTACACTTAAAATACCCAACACCAAATGTTTCTACAATATTTCCCAGATGTAAAAATTGTTCCATAATTTATGCAGTTTAAATCCTGAGTCGGCCATTAATTTTTGAAATGCATTATGGCATATCAGAATTTTAAAAATACACCAGTTAGTAATTATAAAATTTACAGGGGAATATGGTCTGCAAAACTACATGTACATTCATTATGTGCAAATGCTGACAAAATCAAATGTTACTAGGATAATTTCTCTCCAGGTTTAATATTCTCTCCAGGTTCAATGTTCTTAACAGTGTTTGATTCCTATGATCATCAGTTCCATTTAGTGGCCATGATGCAGTATCTTTCTAATTCACAAAATGTACACTATATTGCCAAAAGTATTGGGTCACCCCTCCCAATCATTGGATTCAGGTGTTCCAATCACCTCCTTTGCCACAGGTGTAATAAAATCAAGCATCTAGGCATGCATATTGCTTCTACAAACATTTGTGAAAGAATGGGTCGCTCTCAGGAGCTCAGTAAATTCAAGCATAGTACTGTGATAGGTTGCCACCTGTGCAATTAGTCCATCCATGAAATGTCTTTGCTACTAAATATTCCACGGTCAACTGTTAATGGTATTATAACAAAGTGAAAGCAACTGGGAACAACAGCAACTCAGCCATGAAGTGGTAGGCCACGTAAAATGACAGAGCGGGGTCAGCACATGCTGAAGCACACAGTGCGCACAAGTTGTCAACTGTAGAGTCAATAGCTAAAGACCTCCAAAATTCAAGTGGTCTTCAGTTTAGCACAAGAACGTTGTGTAGAGAGTTCATGGAATGGGTTTCCATGGGCCGAGCAATTGCATTCAAGCCTTACACCACCAAGTGCAATGCAAAGCATTGGATGCAGTGGTGTAAAGCACGCCGCCACTGGACTCTAGAGAAGTAAAAATGTATTCTCTGTATTGATAAATCATGCTTCTCTGTCTGGCAATCTGATGGATGTGTTTGGGTTTGGCGGTTGCCAGCAGAACGGTAGTTGCCTGACTGCATTGTGCTATATGTAAATTTTGGTGGAGGAGGGTTTATGGTGTGGGGTTTTAATTCAGGGGTTGGGCTCTGCCCCTTAGTTCCAGTGAAGGGAACTCTTAAGGCGTCAGCATACCAAGATATTTTTGACAATTTTATGCTCCCAACTTTGTGGGAACAGTTTGGGGATGGCTCCTTCCTGTTCCAACATGACTGAGCACCAGTGCACAAAGCAAGGTTCATAAAGACATGGATGAGGGAGTTTGGGGTGGAGGAACTTGACTGGCCTGTCCTGACCTCAACTCGATAGAGCACCTTTGGGATGCATTAGAGCAGAGACTGTGAGCCAGGCCTTCTCATCTGACAGCAGTGCCTGACCTCACAAATGCGCTTTTGGAAGAATGGTCAAACATTCCCATAGACACACTACAATGCATCTACAAATGGCGGTATATATACTGGAATTTTTATTTATTTATTTTTTATACTAGTAATGGCGGCGATCAGTGACTTATAGCGGGACTGCAGCTGGCATTCTGGTACTGGGTGGGAGCTGAATAACTGTCACTGACATCTCCAGTGACACTAATCCAGTAATCAGTGCTAATAAAAAGCACTGACACTGTACTAATGACACTGGGCAGGAAGGGGTTAACATCTGGGGTGATCCAATTGTTAACTGTGTGTTGTGACACATCACAGGGGGTGTAGGAGCAGGATGCCAGCAGAGTTTCTGGGCTCTGTGAAGGTCCTGGCCAGGTTTCTGGGGTGTTCCCAGATTCCCGACACAGTGACAGCTGCTCATGGTGTAGCGGTAAAATGAGTATCCAGGAACCATGAAAATAGGTTCAACCTATAAGGGGTTAACTGATCTTGCAACCCATAGTGATCTGCGGGATCAGCTTCAGCTGTTTGCAGCCTGTAAGGTGTTAACTGTGGCAGCTCTGTGCTAAAGTCGGAGATCGGCTTCTTCAGCCTGAAACTGGCACATGAGCAGTTGCTTCAGAGGATACATATCTTTACGGGTAGGGACAGGGGCGGACTGACAAGTCATGGGGCCCCTGGGCAATAGGGGATCACGGGGCCCCTGTGTCCTTGCCCAAACTCAAAAAAGCCTATGAAAAAGGTACCAGGGGCATCTACTGTCCCCGGGCCCCGCAAGAGTTTCCAAATGGTCAGTCCGCCCCTGGGTTGGGATACACATTTTACTGCTACACCGACACCGCTCCTTCCTCTATGGAGGGGTGACACCACGTGTTACTGCACCAGGACACACCAACCCTAGGGACGCCTCTGCAGTGTGCAGTTTTACTAAGCAGACCTGCTGCTTACTATCTTTCTGCTGTGCAGAGAGATAGAAAGCAGCACATCCATGTTGACAGGAGAGAGATCTGTGTTGTTTACACACAGATCTCTCCCCTCTCAGCTTTGCAGACGATCACCAAGTCCTGGCCGAAAATCACCATCTGGGACCTGGTGATTGACATCCTACAGCAGAGTAAGTAGGGGGTGGCACGTATGTGAGTGCACGCCCCCTACCCAGAAATGCAAAATCACATATATTTCCATGATTTTACCCAGCGAAGCTGCCCTGTAGCAGTACATCTGCGGGCAAGTGATGAGAAGAGAAGAGAAGAGTAAACAAAATTACTGCACCTGCAATTTATGTGATGCCAGAATGTGGTGTCAAAAGCTGTCTCAGAGAATCATAATGTTCTGTAAAAACACAGCTGTAAGGCATCCCCAAAGCATTTTATTTGAATGATTTTTGTATTTTCAGTGTTGCTTTTTATATAATAATAAATTAATATGATTTAAGAAAAAAATATATACATGTTTATTGCGTGGAACATTTTCACTGTATAAAGACACACTTTTTCACTTTTACCTGTTATTTATGTGTTATTTATTATATGACATGTACTGTATGTAGATATATGAATTGTTCTCATAATCACAGATTAATTGATTTATTAGGTGTAGTGTGTATATATTTTTTTTACATATTTATAGATTAATCAGGCTGAGAGGCAGAATTTTAGTTTAATTTCATTTTTGCACATTTAACATTATTTTAGTGTTGCACATTTTTTATATTTTATTTTTTGTTGCTCTGAATGATTAACAGAGTGTGCTTGCTGACTTTTAGTTTATTTTTGTTTGGGTTGCGTGGTGACATTTTTACAATATTGCTTTTTAAGCTGCCTAAAAAGACACTCTCCCCACTGAACAATTATCTTAAATGTGTTTTTTTTTTTTTTCTTTCATTGGTACATGTCCCCAAGGTCAGTGCCCAGCTCCCCATACCCTTTGTTGAAAATTCCTAGCATAATAGCCTTAAAATTGTCAGAATGTATTTTTAAGGTTCAGCTTCTGTTGATTTTTTTTTTCAGCAGTTCAGTGAACATTATGCAAACTGAACTTAGATAGGTTTGACTCATCGCTACTGTACAATAATTAAAATTATCAATCCTCTCATATGTACAGTAGAAGACTGGTTTCTCTTTTACAGGTTACTATTCAGATTACCTTCTATACCATATTCCTTTTTCTTCCCTATCTTCCACTTCATTGAATTTACCATTTTAACCACTTGAGCTCCAGAGGATTTACCCCCCTTAATGACCAGGCTTTTTTTTTTGCTGTTTGGCGCTGCACTAATTCAAATGATAATTGCGCGGTCATGCAATGCTGTACCCAAACAAAATTTACGTCCTTTTTTTTTCACACAAATAGAGCTTTCTTTTGGTGGTATTTGATCACCTGTGCGCTTTTTATCTGGGGGGGTGATCAAGGGGTTAAACAGGATTACTGGTGTACTGGCGGGCAAACTGGCGCTATCTGGGAGGGGCGCTGACACTATCGGAAGTCGCCAGCGACACTGATACAGTGATCAGTAAAAATTGGTTCACTGATCAGTGACACTGGTGACAGGGCAGTGAAGGGGTTAACTGGGGGGGCGATCAAGGGGTTAAACGGGATTACTGGTGTACTGGCGGGCAATCTGGCGCTATCTGGGAGGGGCGCTAACACTATTGGAAGTCGCCAGTGACACTGATACAGTGATCAGTAAAAATTGGTTCACTGATCAGTGACACTGGTGACAGGGCAGTGAAGGGGTTAACTGGGGGGGGGGGGGGGCGATCAAGCAGTTAAACGGGATTACTGGTGTATTGGCGGGCAAACTGGCGCTATCTGGGAGGGGTGCTAACTATCGGAAGTCGCCAGCGACACTGATACAGTGATCAGTAAAAATCGCTTCACTGATCAGTGACACTGGTGACAGGGCAGTGAAGGGGTTAACTGGGGGGGGGGGGGATCAAGGGGTGTTAAACAGGATTACTGGTGTAACTATCGGAAGTCGCCAGCGACACTGATACAGTGATCAGTAAAAATCGCTTCACTGATCAGTGACACTGGTGACAGGGCAGTGAAGGGGTTAACTGGGAGGGGGGGCGATCAGGGGGTAAATGTGTCCTAGGTGTGTTCTAACTGTCAGTGTAGTGGTTTGTATTCACTTTTACTGTGTCTTCTTCTCTGTCTGGAACGGAATGTGTCCAGGCAGAGAAGAATGACATCATATCCTGCCCTGTGTAAATGTCAACACAGGACAGGATAGGACAGGGACCGATCATCTGATTTCAGCCAGAAATCACTGGCTGAAATCTAATGATTGATCCCTCCTGGATCGAATCGTGTCACCTGCGGGTCGGCGGGAGCACGCGCGTGCGCGCCCCCTACCCGCGAAAGTGTCGGGAGCGCGGAGCCCGTTTTAAAACGTGGTTTTGCGCTCCACTGCCGCCCTGCACATGTATATATACAGTGGCAGGGCGACAAGCGGTTAACAAAGTATTGATTTCTTTGACTGAATTATTTAAACTATTTCAAATATATAGACACTCTAAAAATATGATCTATGGAGAATACATAAGAGTTATTTAAATGTTAGGTCGTGGTTCACGCTACTGTGACCTGAAAGTCGCGCGACTTACAGTGTGACTTTGCCAGGCAACTTGAGTACTTTTTTGAACCGACTTTGAAGCAACTCTGAAGCAACTTTCAGGGAATGCCTGGGTAAACTTCCTGTAATGTTGGATTCAAATCACATCAATATAAATGAGGACCTGACTTGGAGGCAACTTCCAATAAAGTCTATGGGCACAAGTCAGATAGAAGTCTCCTTGAAATAGTACAGGAACCTTTTCTAAAGTCAGAGTGACTTCAGTAGTGCTAATTAATCACTTCCCATCTGGCCCATGTACATAAACGGCCGAACGGGAACGGGAGCAGTGCACTGGCGTGTGGCCATTTATAAATGGCCTCCCTGCCCCCTGATTGTGCGCACTCCCTTAGAGCGATCCTCCGGACACATTGGAACACCGATCGTTGTACGGGACCTCTGTGTGAGGTCCCGATCATGTTATCACTGGTTGACCAATCAGTGATCACATAAAAAGTAGTAAGCAAGATGTCACTTCTGACATCATTGCTTACTACATGTGAAATATGTGAATGATCACAGAGGTCACATGGTACAAGGCTATTTACAACAGCTTGTACCATGTGACAAGCTGTGACCAATCACAGCACACACAGTATTTCTCAATGGCTGCAAGAATGCAGCCAGAGAGAGAAGGAAAAATAATTACTTTTACAGCCTTTATAGGAGTAAAAGGAACCAGTATATATAAAAAAAAAAAAATCTTCATAACCCCCCACATGTAGTACAGTGTCAGTATGGTGACACTGTACTCCTAGGGTGACAGTATGTAAAAACCCATAAATAATAATATAAAAAATTTAAATAAAAATGTAAAATAATGTTTTAAAACGTATAATTTTTGGTTATAAACTAATTTGGGTTATTTTTTTGTTTACTAAAAAGATAACAGAATAAATGTTGGCCAAGATTTATGAAGAAAGATTATTTATTTGCAAAATTTTATAAGAAAAACACTTTTTTTCAAAATTTTTGAACATTTTCATTTATATAGCAAAAAAATAAAAATCCCAGTGGTGAATAAATACCACCAAAATAAAGTTTTATCTGTCTCAAAAAAATGCTAACAAATTCATATGGGTACAGTGTTGCATGACTGCGCAATTGTCATTCAAAGTGTGATAGCACTGAAAGCTGAAAATTGGCCTGGACAGGAAGGGGGTGAAATTGGCTTGAAGTGGTTAAGACAGCTCTTATGGACTAACATGGGATATGTCATGCGAATTGGGGTCTCACAAGTTGGATCCCAAATTGTAGCAATATGAACTGAGCCTTAACAAGTAGTTTTGAATGTGTACTTTGTATAATTAATTTATATTCTGTACTACACACACAGGGGCAGACTGACAACTCATGGGGCCCCCGGGCAATAGGAGATCATGGGGCCCCTGTGTCCTTGCCCAAACTCAAAAAAGCCTATGAAAAAGGTACCAGGGGCATCTCGTGGGGCCTCCTACTGACCCCGGGCCCTCGGGCAGTGCACAGGTTTCCCAAATGGTCAGTCCGCCCCTGTACACACACCTTGTTTAGGAAAACAACTGTGCAATGCAAATCCCATTCTCTTGTTTTTATACTATCTTGAAAACCTTTATTAAAGATGTAAAGTCCAGAGACTTGTATTCCTGTTTACATTAAAGGCATATTATACCCCAAATCAAAAATGTAATATAGTACAGCTTACAAATCATTAGATGTGCTGGCTGCATTAGTTTTCTTTCTCAAAAAAACATTCAACAACATCACCTTTCAGTGGCTTTCTATGGTCCTTTCCAAACTAGGCTTCTCGGGTCCCTTTCTAAACCCTATAAGCAGCATGTACTCCCTTCCTACAGCCAGAGTAGTGGTGGCAGACCTTTTGTCTGATACTATTAAATTACACAAGAGGACTAGGCAGGGCTTTCACCTCTGCTGTACAATCTAACTATAGAACCAATTTCTAGGTACCTGGCAGACCTGGCCCTTTTACATGGGATCAGAATGGGTAACAAGGACCTGAGCACAGTTCTATATGCAGACATCTTAAAGCAGTATTAAAGCCAAAACCTAAAATGTAATATATATTTCTTTTCTTTTTTTCCCTTCTGTTTTCACCTGGTGATCTGGCCAGTAACATACCTCCTGTATTAAAGTGTCCCCATTCTGATGAAAGAGCATAGGGACACCTTTGAACAGCATTGTCAGTCTAAGGGGAGGTGAGTGTTAGGTGTACTAGCAGATTAAGACACTCAAACAAATTGAATCCAACACCAGCAAAATGTTTTAAGCCATTACAGCAAACGGTTTTCTTTTCTTTTGGAATAAAGGTTTTACATGAATAAATACAAGCTGATTGGTATAAGCACTCATGTGAGTAGTAAATGGTTTGTCTAAGCCCTCTAACTTCTACATCTTCAGGACAGTGTGTAATGTTGAAAAACACCAGACTTACTGACCAGATCACCAGATAAAAATAAAAGTAAGAAAACCTAAAATGAAAACTAATGCAGCCATC